CATAAATCCCCGCCGCCCACCGCCGGTGATTAAATCCAGGCTCACTCTCCTCCATCCTCCACCCGCCTCAACATCGCACCTCACCGCGCCACCGATTTCTCCGCCGCACCCGACTCCATTGCCACCTCCGGCTTCGCATCTCTCCGGCGTTAAGGGCGGAGAAGAAATGAATAGATCGCGCAGCGTCCCCTTCTTCCCGGACCGATTAGACGGATCTGATCCCGAGAAGCTTTTCCGGCGGCCGAGCAGCATCCCTAGGGTTTTACGCCGGCGGAGCCGAAACCCAGCGGCGGCGGCGGAGGCGGCTGCGGAGGGAGGGGTTCTAGAGGGGCTTCGAGCGGAGGCGCATTTTGTGGCCAGTAGCTTGAATTTCTGCAGCGCAGCCATGGATTTGCTCTCAGTAGGGAGGGAGGATTGATTCGGTTCTGGGGAAGGGGGAGAGGAATAAAGATAGGAGGGAGGGGGTGTGAGGCAATGGAGACACGTGGAAGCAGGAGGAGCTTATCCGAGTTTGTAACCATCTGAATTTGTCGATGGTTCCGTCTGTACAATGTTATTTTAAAGGGGAGGAAGTCGGGCGCCGGCTGTGTCGGTTAGCCGGTGGAGGGAGTTGCCTGCGCTGGTGCGAATGGCACGTGAGAGAAGGACAGGAGAGACTGATTGAAGGGCAGCAGACAGAATTGTGAATTGCTAAACATTGGCATCTTTGTTAATTCTACATGGACTTTAGGTTAGTTAGGAAGTGATTTATTTTTTTAATATTATTTTTTCTAATTATATTTTTTTAATAAATGCATTCCTCATGATTATTATTTTATTCTTTGTGATATTATTTTTCAGGGTCTCTATCATTCTGATCATTATTGATAAAATTAACAAGAGATTTTATCTTATGGCTATTCAAATCATTGCTTATTACATATGGTTTGGAAGAAATAATAATTTTTTTAGAAAATTTTCTACCTCCATTGAGATTGTTATCATTAATATTCTTTGGATGGTGAAAGATAAAAGTAGGAGATGAAAGTTTATGCAGGATATTTCTTATGATCTGAGAAATTTTTATAACATTTATCAATTTTTCTTTTCTCCATTTTGATTTTTCTGTGTTGGTGTTGGTTTTTTTCTTTCTTTTTTGGTTGTGTTGTTTTGAACTGATTCTTACCTTGACATTAGTTATTCTGAACAAATTCATCTTGATCTTAGTTTGTTTGGTTTTGCTATGAAGACTTCGATCCATACATTAAAAAATCAACCAATTCAACCATACTTTGAATTTTTTATTTTTTTGTTTAAAATATTTATTATATTTGGATGGAATTTTACTGATTTTGGAGGTAAAATTTTGAGTACTTAGTCTTCTTATCTTTTGGGCTTGTCTTGAGCTGCACTTTGGATTTATTTCTTTTTTTCTTAACTTTTGTTATTTTTTTGGATGATTATTGCAATTGGTTTTATATAGTTTGTTGTTATTTCTAGAGTTTGGCACAACTATTTCGATTATCTTTTAGTGTTCTTATCTAGCTGTTGTCTTTGTTATTCATATTAATGTTTATGATGTTCGGCTTTGTTGTCTTTGGGGTTTCTCCTCTATATGTTTTTTTGGTTGCCGGCTTAGTTTTGGGGTTTATTTTTCTTTTAAGATCTTTGTTGTTTCTTTATCGTGTTTATTAATATTTTAGGTTGGTGATGATTGTTTTTTTCAGTTTTTCTTGTTGAGTTGTGGGTACTTATTTCCTTTATTTTTTTTTTTTTGTTTTATCTGTTGATTTGATTTCGAGTTTTTCTTGTTGAGTTGTGGGTACTTATTTCCTTAATTTTTTTTTTTGTTTTGTTTTATCTGTTGATTTGATTTCGTTTATTTATTTTGCTATTGCTCTTCTTTGCATTTTTGATTTTTCTGTGTTGATGTAACTCAATGCATTGATTGTTATGATTCTTACATTCATTATAGTTTTCTGATCATATTTATCTTAATCTTGGTTTGTTTAGTTTTTCTATTGTGATTTCCAACCAAATGTTAAATTCAATCATGTTTTAAATATTTTATGTTTCGTTTAATATATTCATAATATTTGAATGGAATTTTTATGGTTTTGCAGATAAGTTTCTGAGCCATATTTTTTTTCTTTTTGTGCTTTCTTTTGAGCTTGTCTTTGGTTGTTCTGTAATTTTCTTTCATTTTA